TCTACTTGTGTTTGTTAAACTATTTCTGAGTTGCCACTATGATCTTTTATTTTTTTTCTAGTTGTTGTTGCTTCTGTTGACCTACTCTTGTTTGACTTAAACTTTCTTCTCTTCTCCTTGTAGTCCTATTGCACACATCTATTAAGACTAAGTTATCTTTCCTCATAATACAACCATGATTATGTTTCCTTTTCTTTGTTATAAGGACTGATAACTTATTAGACTAAACTGGATTGTTTTTTTGATTAGCTAACACCTTCAGCTGCATGCTCAATCTAAAATTTACTTGGTATCATACCTCCTGTCTCTAATCCTTTAGGGTTATCATTGACCTTTGAAAATTGACATGCATTTTATCTTCTAAGATTGTCTTCCCTTAAAAGGGTCTAATCCTAAATATTAGGACTCTTCTTAAATCCTTCTATGTTTCCAAGTTGTTTTTCAAACCATGTCAGGAACCGTTTGGCAATTCTATTTCCAAGTCTTTAGCCTTTTTATTTTGATAAAAATAATTTAATCATATTTAGTATCAAACTTAGATAGTTAAATATAAATTCTATCTTTGTCCGAATTCCCGTCAGGCATATTTATTTTTCAAGCCTTTACCCTTTTTGTTTTGTTATAAATAATATAAATTATGCTTGAACTTTAATAGTTAAATATAATAAAATTTCATCGTTGGCCAAATCCAAATTATACATAAGTTTTACACCTTTTTAGTCTATTTATGTTAGACTTATCGGCTAATTTGGTAACCAAAAGCGAAAAAACAAGCAAATTTTTTAGAATTTTGGTTTCTTCTCTCTCCGTTTATTGAAATGTTGCGTTAACATTTTGACATATTTAATTAGAACCGTCCCAAAATATCATAACCATATTTGCTGTTGTTGGAGCAATTTTACATCTCATTAGAGCATTAAAATTTATATCTATCTATCTATCTATTTATATTATATTAAAAGCATAAAAACCCTTAGCGAAATATCATTCGTCTATTTTTGCCCCTTAAAAATAGATTTTATACTAAATAAAATAGTCATTTAATTATTTTTTTAATTTTAGGACTTTAAAATCAATTAAAATTTTATTATTAAAATTTTCATTATTTAAAGCCCATTAATATTAGAGTTGTATTGAACTATTCCTATAAGATTCTTTATTATTTAAAACGTGAGTTAGCAAAATTCTGTAGGAGTCAAACACACAAGGAATTCTGAAAACATAAAGATTCAAAACATATGATTTTTCTTACTATTTGAAAATCGAATTCTTATTGGAAAAATTATAATTATTCTCAAATATTTAAAAACTAGAATGAGCAAAATATTCAGAATTTGAATTAATAGAATTAAGTTATTTTTTTTAATGTTGAGAACAAATAATTAAGTCGTTGAATTAACTAATTAGCAAACGAATCCAATTCAATTATTTTACAAATTTATCATATAAGAATTATTTTTGTTAAATTGACAAAACACTTAAAGTACATAAATTTTATTTTTGTAATAAGAGTATCGACATTGAAAAAAATCATAAAATATAGCAAAATTAATTATAATAAAAAATGAAGATTCAAATAGGTGAAAAAACTAATTTAAGCAATAAGGTAAAATTATAGAAGGCAACTAGATTATAAATGAGTTGTCATTTGTTTCTTTCTTGCATTCAGTCCAACAAATGAAAACGTCTTGCTATAATTTTTATACTAAGTTTTTTCTTGTAAAATATTAATTCAAAATTAGTCATTCTTTAAACTTTACATTATCACTATCAAATGTTTAGAAGGTATAATGCCAATTTTTTTTCATTCACAAATTTTTAAAAGACCAAGAGATCGATCATAGTGATTGATGGCTCTTTCAATTCGCCGAAATGGAACACTTTGGCGTGTACCAAAATGGAGAATTTGGGTCAGAGAAAAAGTGTTTGGCCGAAGCCCAAAAGAGGCCTTCAGACGAGAAAGAAAGAGTAGAAAGATAGGTTTTCCATCGCTCTTTCCTTTGCCCTTCCTCCCAATTTTTGCACGGGAACTATCAATAGCGATTGTTGCTCCTTATGCTTGGTTCTTCTCATCTCTCCCTTCAGAGCTACCCTTACCTGATCACATCCGCTTTTGGAGCCCTTTTAATTTGTGTTATTTGATAAATCTTTAATTATAAATATTAACAATTTTCATAAGTTTTGATATAAGTCCGGAAAAAATAACAATAAGGCATCTAAATAAAATTCCTTCATTTGTTAAGCTAACTAAATGAGAATAATATTTATTATTTAAAAAAAAACTTTAATTATATTTTATAACTCAAACAAATTATCTAATAATATGTATGTAATTTTTAAAATTTGTCTATTCATTAATATAGGTACACGCGCAAAGCGCGTACCCTAAGACTAGTACTATATTAAAAGCACGAAGGCCTTTAGCGAAATGTCGTTCATCTTTTTTACCCTTTAAAAATAGAGTTCATATTGGATAAAATAGTAATTTAAATATTTTCCTAATATGTAGGGATGATCATTTAATTATTTTTCTAATATCCATGATATTGAAATCAACTATAATTCTGATTATTAAAAATTTTCATAGTTGAATTATGTAGAGAATATTTATATTTAGGATTCTAAAAGCAATTAAATTTTATTTTATATAGGTTTTCTTATTTCAAGCCCATTAATATTAAAGTTGTAGTAAACTATAATATTTTTTTATCATTCAAAACTTAGAAATTAATTATTCATATCTGTAGTACCTTTTTTTTCGTAGATTAGCACTACTTTAAAGCTACCAAAAATAGGTACACGTAAGTTTTATATAACACAAAAGTAGAATACTCATTATATTTGGAAAAAATCAAAGGAACATCTAATCATTAATAAAAATCAAAGAACAATAAATGTAATTTTCTTTTTTAGATTCTTAATATACTTTAGCACAGTAAAATCAGGGGTTTAAATTTTTATCATACATTCATAATTTTATAATATTAATAAATAAATTGAAAGGAATAATCGAATAGAAAGAATATTAACTTATCTCATTTCTAAAGATTAATATTCAGTTTAGGTAAATAAATATGCAACATGAAACGTGGAATAGGTTAAAATTCGAGCATGAGACGAAAGAGTTCTAATCCCAGTCTTATCATTTTGGAAGTGCAAATACTTTTATTTTGTACTAATGTAAAGAATTTTGTATTACTAAATTTAGTATTTAATATCTAGTGCCATTGAAGGACAATTTGGAACATTATATAGATGTTATTAGATTTTATCATGTGAAATTTGTTTTGTTACAAAAAATAAGAATAAGAGATGTGAGCGTAATTCTCAAACTGCAATAGAAGTTTGTGTTATAAAGAGAATTTAGGAGAATTTTTTTCGAAATTATCCAATAGCTAAATATTAAAACTTGGGATGAGTTAATATTAAGTTTTAAATTAATAAAAAAATATTTTATTTAATGTGTAAAATAAATAATTAAATTGGTTAAGTAGCAAAAGAATGCAATTTAATTTTTTCCCAAAATGATCATATAAGTAGAAGTAATTTTCAAATGAAAAAACTCCTAGCATTCATATATTTTTCCATAAGAAGTGCATTAATGGTGAAAGAATAAGAAATAGAGTAAGATCGGTTATTGTGTAATATTAAGAATCAAATCGATAAAAATGCAAATTTGAAAAAATAAAAATGAAGCAGTAGAAGAAAAACTATATTCTATTTGATTTGTCATTGGCTATTATTTTTATTTTTTTGTAAACATTCTTACAAATTGAACTCCCTATATCTTTTTAATATATTTAGTTATTTGTTGTAATATATCTATTAATCATTCTTAGACTTTAGTCACATGTACCTTTTTTCTAAGAGCCATAGGGCAAATCTATCCTTCCCGAATCTCAAAAACGATCAAGGGATTATATTTTTAAATTTGTGTTATTTGCCAAATCTTTGATTGATTGTGGTAAGTAATTTTTGTGTTGCTTTTTTGTTTTTGATATAAGATACAAAATAACAATACTTTTTACAAGATATTCCATATAATTATAAGGACTTCTATAATGTATAATTTATTCTTTTATTGAACTAGCTAAATTAGAATTAACATTATATCAATTATAAGAACTCACTTTTTTTTATATCTCAAATATTTTATTTAATGTTATTTATTTTAATTTTTTAAGACAATATACTTATTGATATAAGAAACACGGCCAAAAACTAATTATATAAACAGCGTTTGGATTAGAGAATGGTACGCAGAACCTACTAATTTTCTCCTCTCTGACCTCGGACCGAGGAGGACCGCTCGATCAAACAAGGGATTCAAAAGAGGGAATCCGGCTTTATTTTCTGGTAAGATTTTCTTAGCTTTTTACTGGCTCATTCGATTGGATCCGTAGTCGACAGAGGATTTGCTCCAATCTTTCCTCCAATCTGCTAAGCTTTTGTCTGCCTTCACCGGGCTACTTTTTTTTTTTGTTTTGTTAATATCGTCATGAGGGTTTGAGCCAGATTTAAGTAATACCTTCCCGTTGTGCGTTAATTTGTGGGGTGTATAAATGGTTTTTATTTATTCCAGATATATAATCATACGGTCCTATTGAGAGCCAAGATTAATGTTCCAGTTATCTTGAGCTCACTATTTTAGAAGAATCCAATGTGTTTAGTTACTCTCGTGATTTGAGGGTGGAAAGCTCTAACCCTTTTCACATGTGTTGTAGGTTATTTATTCTTGAGAAGAGACTCCTCGCAATTAATTCGAGAAAACATGGCAAAAGATAGTATTTTTAATGTTAGATTTTATGTTTGATATTAAAAAACTTAGCTTTAGTTGGATTGGGATACCTTTGTCCTTACAAAACATTTTTTTTTTTTTACTATCTTAATTATTGCGCTGGCTAATGTTTCTTTATTTAAATTTGTGTTTGAACATTATTTATTGCCAATGAAAAAGAAAAATTAGATTGCTAAAGATTGGGTTTATAATGTTAGAATATATCTAAGAAAGTAAAGATCATAGCTTTAGTTGGGTTGTGACACCTTTGTCCTCTAAGACGATTTACAATTGGAAAAGACTAGACTTTTCACTCAATTAGGGCAAGAATTCTTCAAAAGAGGATTGCTTTTCTCTGTGTTTTACGGACTCTGGTTATTTGAAAGCATCTTTAGTTAACCGTAGATTTGCTTGAATTGTTTCTACAATCTGCTAAGCTTTTTGCTGCCTTCACCACTACCTTTTCACCTTTTTCCTTGGTTTGCAACTTTTGATTTGAGAGTGCCTGCCCGTTGAGTTTTAACCAGTGAATGCATACTTATTGTTTTATGCATTTTCAGATATGTATTGAGAGCCAATTTTTTTTTTTGTGTGGGTGTGATAATGTCCATTATCTTGAGGTCACTATTTTAGAAGAATCCACTGTGTTTAGTTACCTCTTGTTGTTTGAGAGTGGAAAGATCTAACGTTTTTCACAGGCGTTGTAGGTTATTTATTCTCGAGAAGAAACTCCTCACAATTAAGCATCATGACAAGTAAATCTTCCTAAATTCATGTGATGCCACCATACTCTTAATGGTTTATGACATTTATAATCATTGCATCATAAAAAAAAATTGTGAATTGCTGATCTAGGATGCAATTTACCCTATCTTTGTCTAGGATTTATAAATTACGATGATATTAAAGAGTAAGGGGGAAAAGATGTTTTTTCCTAAAATTACTCTAAAAAAAAGATCTTTCTCCAAAAATTCCCCTTTCCTTTCTAACTCAGAAAGTATAGTTGTTTTCTCTTCTTAACCCTTCAGCCAAGCCGCCTTGTCTTTTCATTGGCTTGATGTCTGATACCTTTTCCTTCTCCCCAACCTCTGTCATGTCTCTCTATTTTGACTTCCCACTCTGACTATTTAGAAGGCTAGAATAATATATTAATGAGTTGAAGCCATGGAACTACTTCTACCAGCCACAGGTAAAACGAGTTCTCATTCCCGGATAACTAAGATTTGACAAGGGAGAGGGAGACCCTTTGTCTTAAATTCTTAGGCTTCACTTACCTCTTAGTTTGAGTAATAATTCTTTTTGATAAACTAGTATAATTTAGAGAAGATCAATCTCCACTTTCACTTGACAAGTCAGGATAGCCGTCGCTACCTTGATTAGACCCAAGGCCCAAGCTCGTGCAAATTTAGAGGGTTAAAGATCAAATCATTAAAGTTTGCACGCGACTAGTACAGTCCTACAGCATGAGAAAGAGGTTGTGATGCTATGCATCAACCAATGATAGAGAAAACCACTTGTCCAAATCCAATCACCCTATAGATATAGCCATATGATGCTTATGCAAAAAAAAAAAATGATATAAATATGTGTGATTTCTGATGCGAGGTTTTAGGATTAAGTTTTAAGATTAAGCAAAGGCTAAATCCTTATCTATCTTCTAAAAGCTATTAAGTGATAATCCTAGGTTTGCGTAATGATATTTCTTATTCGTAGTCAATGATTACTTGAAAGAAGGGCCTTGAATAAAATTTACATCACAAAAAGAAGAGGAGTAGGTAGAACACTTTTTTCCTTGTTCAAACTAAAAAGGGGGAAAGAAAAAAGAATGAATAAACTGCTCAAAGCTTTTCTTGGACTAAAGAAAACCCAGTAATTACAGGTGAGAGGTTGAAGAATATAGTTGGGTTGTCAGCGTGCTATTATTTTTGAACATAGATAAGGGGGGAAGCTAGACAAGTGGTGCAGTTGCATCTCCAATTTAGCGAACTAATACAAACTGTTTGCCATTGGGCTTTCATTCAAAGTCTCAGGGAACACTTCTGAATCAATGTCCCTGTAAATTAGGCTTGAATCCAACATTTGAACCTTTAAATTAAACCCTTTATGGGTCAGGTGGGCAAGCTGCACATGCATTTAATTAAAAGATTGAAAAGTAGTCAGTTGCTGCACTTCTCGTTCACTGGTTCGTGGTCTTTTATATCTCAATTCATCTGCTTCAAGAATTCTTGCCTGCACTCATCTTGTCATCATGATACCAGTACTCAATCGTGTTGCCCTTGGGTTGAAGACTATATCAAAGCCTATAGCTAGTGGGTTGAACCACAAATTCCAACAATCCATCGTCCGAATGGCTCATGTAAATGAATTTGGTATTTAGGCTAAATATTGAATAGATTGTAGGTTGTGCGTTAGTCTATGAATATATACAACGTATAGAACATCACAAGGACGTGATGGCCATACTGAAAGGATGCCAAGGTAAAGCAAGAACTCTGATCTCTTATGCTTCATCAGAAATAGATCATGTTGGAAGGCACATGTTGCTTGATCTCTTAAGTTTCATAATTGTGGCAGGGGGGGGAAGAAAATGATGTTCGATTCAAGTGGTACTAGTCATCGTTTCAGGGACGGAGCCATGCACCTCAAATAAGACGCCCAAATTGATGCCAACTTGAAGCAACAATTCATAGAATCTCAACTTTAGGAGCGATTATTATATGCATTATTGTACGTTGGATCATGCTGAATTAAGTTATTCTAATGAAAAATTAATTATTATTATGTTATTTTTAAATTTCTCATTAATTGAGCAGCTTCACTTCTTGATTTTCTTCTTTAAGCCATGCTCTTTGTTCTTTCTTCTTTTTGCGCTTGTCTTTGTGTCAACTTATTCTTGCTATCTTTTAGCAGTATCATTTGCATAACTCGTTTTTCAATGGTACACTTTCCAAAATCCCAATCTTTAGAGCTTGATTATTAATTCAATTTTCCGCTGTCCTTGATGTTAGAATATACTATCATATTCGTAATGAAACCTCTGGTTTTCATTTAATTTTTGAAATTGTATAACGATGACGGCATCTACATTAAGGAAGATCTTTAACAATTCTGAACCTTACAAGTCACTTCTAACACACTTCCCCCCCTCCCCCCAAGTAAGTTACTACTTGTATACGGTCGAAACTGATTTCGTCCTTCGTACGACTGGTCGAGATGAGAACATAATGGACCGAAAAGAGTCATCATAATATCGAGATGAGATCCGAAGAAGGCACAAACGAGATTCGAGTTTCAGGGACAGATCAAATACCGAGCTCGAAGTCATTATCGAGCTCGAATCCAAATCGAACTATGATGAGAAGCGATGGAATCGAGCTTAAGAGCTAGAGGCCAACCAATACCGAGCCCGAGTCAATACCGGACCCCGAGTTAATATCGAGCTCAAGCCCACATCGAGCTCTAAGCTTGGAAACCGACCGATACCAAGTCCGATCAAGATCGAGCCAAGAGACAAGAGCCGTTACAACCGTACTAAGAAAGGTAATCTCGGGGTAAATTAGGAAAAAACTGATTTATCATGGGTTCCCCACTATGTATTTTTTATTATATCCAAAGTATGATCCCTCCACTATAAGAGGGATGGTTATTATTCCTGCAAGGGGGCATCAAGTCATTAATACATTGTAACTCAAATACTGTTGAGACATTCCCATATTAAGAGATTATCCTTTTGAGCTTCACACATAATTTCATTTTTGCTTGTTCATAAATCATCTTCCTTTCAACTCGGTTTGTATCTTCTCTTTATAGTCAATATTCGATATTTCTACTTATTCCTACGATTTGTGTCAAGTTATACCACGTACCCTTAAAACTACTTACAAATTCAACTCTATCCGTTTTTCGGGTAAACAGTTTGGCGCCCATCGTGGGGCTAAGGATAACAATGGTTATTTGATACGAATCTCTGCAAAACACGCCATTTTACGCTTGTTTTTGGAAGTGTCTTTGATTTCAGATTAGAAACTACGAACTCTCAATTAATGACCCTACATATCGACAACGAAGCTGGCCTTCAAGATAAAAACAACAACTTGATGACCGGGGAGGAAAGGCCGCTCGTCAATACCGTTGGAGCTTGGATCGAAGTACCAGTAGACGTTAATTCGCATATGGACATCAATGCAAACCAACGTTCCGACCCGAAAAATAACATTCACGGTGAAACTCGATTTGCAGCTCGAAATACCCAGAACGTTGAGGAAAACGGAACCAGCTTGCGTACGATTTGCGAAATATTGCAAGCTCAATAGGTAGCGATAGCTCAGTTGCAGAGTCAAACCCAAGTACCGAGCAGGCCGGAGCCCAGTCTACCTCGAGAAATCACTCATAGAACGGAGCCAGCAATAGTAAGATCAAATGAACAAGAATCGGAGACTAATCCCGAAATTGCTAAAATACTCGAGGAACTCACAAAACGGATCGAAGCAAACGATAAAAAAATGGAAACATATAACTCCATGGTCGATCAGATCCCGGGGGCACCACTAGTGTTGAAAGGGTTGGATTCCAAAAAATTCGTGCAAAAGCCTTTTCCACTAAGTGCAGCTCCAAAACAGATCCCCAAAAAATTCCGCATGCCCGAGATTTCTAAATATAATGTAACGACCGACCCCAATGAACACGTCACCTTTTACACATGTGCCATCAAGGGTAACAATTTAGAAGACGATGAAATCGAATCTGTGCTGTTGAAAAAATTCGGAGAGACCCTTTCGAAGGGAGCAATGATTTGGTATCACAACCTACCATCAAACTCCATCGACTCATTTGCCATGTTAGCAGATTCTTTCGTAAAGGCACACGCAGGGGCCATAAAGGTCGCAACGAGGAAATCAGACCCTTTCAAGGTAAGACAAAGGGATAATAAAATGCTGAGGGAATTCATGTCCCGATTTCAAATGGAACGCATGGAATTGCCACCGATCACAGATGATTGGGCCGTTCAAGCTTTCACCCAAGGGTTGAACGAGCGGAGTTCGATAGCATCGCGTCGGCTGAAACAAAATTTGATCGAGTATCCGGCTGTAACTTGGGCAGATGTGAACAATCGATATCAATCGAAGATCAGGGTTGAGGACGACCAATTAGGAGCCCCTTCCGGTTCAGTACATACAAATAGGTCGGTAGTTAAAAACTAGAGGGACGTCGACAAGGATCCAAGGTCGAACAAAGACCGATATCAACCATATACCACAAATCGAAAGAACAATGGTTCAGGACGCAATTCCGCCCGGAACAATTGAAGAAGTAATCGAGGACAGAATTCTCGGGGACTTATGAGCAAAAGTGGTTTTGACAAGTATACCGATCCCATAGAAGTACCTCGGTTATCGGAATATAACTTTAGCATCGATGCATCGGGCATTGTGTAGGCAATCGGAAGGATCAAAGATACTAGGTGGCCCATACCCATACAGACCGATCCTTCCCAAAGAAACCCAAATTTGATGTGCAAGTACCATGGCACGCACGGTCACAAGACTGAAGATTGCAGGCAATTAAGAGAGGAGGTAGCCCGTCTATGCAATGGGGGCCACCTTCGAGAGTTCCTCAACGATTGAGCCAAGAATCATTTCAGAGAAAGGCCCTCCAACAAAAACAATGAACATGAGGAACCCCAACATGTCATTCATATGATCGTCGGTGGGGTCGACACTCCACAGGGACCCATATTCAAATGCACTAAGGTATCAATCACTAGGGAAAAACGAGCCAGGGATTATGTGCCCGAAGGCACTTTATCGTTCAACAACGAAGAAGCAGAAGGCATTTCTCAGCCCCACAATGACACTCTCGTAATTTCTATCTTAGTAAATAAAGTTCAAGTTAAGCGTGTTTTAGTGGATCCAGGTAGCTCGGCGAATATCATCCGGTCGAGGGTCGTGGAGCAGCTCGGATCTTAAACGGCTTCAATATGGCCAGTGAAACAACTAAAGGGGAGATTACTCTACCTGTGAACGTGGATGGAACCATTCAAGATAACAAGTTCCACGTAATCGAGGGTGACATAAGGTACAATGCCCTGCCCGGAAAGCCTTGGATCCACAATATGAGGGCACACCCTTCGACTCTCCACCAAATGATGAAATTTCTAACGTCGGACGGTGTAAAAACAGTATACGGGGAGCAGCATGCTGCAAAGGAAATATTTGCGGTCGATGAGGTAACACCGATATCAATACTATCAACCTCGGAAAGGTCAAACATCGAAGGTAAACAGGAAGTCAAATAGCAATCACAGCCACCGGCCTCGACCGAATCAATGAATCAGGAGAAAGAAGAAGAAGAGGAGGATTTTCTGACCCCTCGAACTTTTATTGTTCTCGAAGATTCTGACACCACCAAATCAACGGTCGAAGAGCTAGAACAGGTTATATTGATCGAGAACCTGTCAGAGCGAAAGGTATACCTGGGAATGGGATTAACCCCCGAACTCAAGAAAACGCTTATTCAATTTCTTATTGGTAACATAGATTGTTTTGCTTGGTCCCATTTAGACATGACAGGGATCCCACCGGAGATAACGACGCATAGGCTAAGCCTGAACCCTAGGTTTAAACCGGTGAAGCAAAAGAGAAGACCCCAGTCAGAGGTAAAGCACACATTCATAAAGGACGAGGTAACTAAACTTCTCAAAATAGGGTCCATTCGGGAGGTAAAATATCGCGAATGGTTAGCCAATGTAGTTGTAGTCGCTAAAAAGGGTAACAAACTTATAATGTGTGTAGATTATAAGGATTTAAACAAGGTATGCCCCAAAGATTCTTTTCCACTGCCTAACATCGATCGCATGATCGATGCCACGGCCGGTCACGAGATCCTTACTTTTCTCGATGCCTATTCCAGGTACTATCAAATCCAAATGAACCCGGTGGACCGAGAAAAGACTTCATTTATCACCAAGTATGGAACATATTGTTATAATGTAATGCCCTTCGGGCTAAAAAATACGGGAGCTACTTACCAACGCCTAGTAAATAAAATGTTCGAAGAACAAATAGGTAAATCAATGGAAGTTTATATTGATGACATGCTAGTCAAGTCCCTGTGCGCAGAGGACCATTTGGTTCATTTGCAGGAAACATTCGAGATTTTAAGGAAATACAACATGAAGCTCAACCCCGAGAAGTTTCCTTTCGGGGTCGGTTCGGGCAAGTTCCTTGGCTTCATGGTATCGAATCGGGAAATCGAGATCAACCTCGATAAAATCAAGGCCATCGAAGACATCACCACGTAGACAGTGTAAAAGCCGTACAGAAGCTAACCGGACGGATAGATGCCTTAGGCCGATTCATTTTGAAATCGTTGGATCGAAGCCACCGGTTTTTCTCTCTACTAAAAAAGAAGAACGATTTCGCCTGGACACCGGAATGCCAGTAGGCATTAGAGGAAAAGCGATACCTGTCGAGCCCACCGCTGCTTCATACTCCAAAGGCAGATGAGAAACTTTACTTGTACTTGGCAGTATCGGAAATAGCAGTAAGTGGTATTCTAGTTCGAGAAGAGCAAGGTACGCAATTTCCCGTTTATTATGTAAGTCAAACCTTAGGGAAGCAGAAACTAGATATCTACACTTAGAGAAATTGGCACTTGTACTGATAAGAGCCTCTAGAAAGTTAAGACCATACTTTCAATGTCACCCCATATGCGTATTAACCACTTACCCACTTCATAATATTTTGCACAAGCTCGAACTATCGGGCCGATTGGCCAAATAGGCCGT